GGTTATTTTTTGCAACTGAAGAAATGTGATGCAGCTACCCAGGTTTGGACATCCGTAGTGAATATTGTTTTGGTCGAAGGACGAAAATTATCAATTCCGGACAGCCCCAAAAACAGCTTTCCGGATTCGTTTGTGAAATTCAAGCTAGGAGGCGAAAAATACAAAAGCAAGGTATTCCTTTGACTTATGACATGGAACCATGCAGCGGAATAACAGTAGCACTTTTTATTACTCCAAGAAATTTCCCAGCGAAAACAAATCAGTTTTCTTAAATTAAAGTTCAGAATCTCCCATCTATTCACTGTGTGCTGAAACACTCAAAAGTAGTCCGAAAGATAGCAAGTGCCAAAAGCAATCATCCGTTGGCAGTACTGTCAGTGGCTGTTTCTTTCGATGATTGCTTGCAGACAAGCTGATGTTGGTCATTCGACTCTCATCATGACGAATGAACTGTTCCTAGGGACGTTGATTGTATTTTTTCCTCCGGACCATAGATTTTCTGAACGAGATTACTTACCACTGTATAATGAGGACAGTTTTTTTTCTGGATCTACTTGAGTTACGAAAATTATGCAATTTGCAGCCGGTCTTGCGAAGCAGTAATCCGAAATGGCTGGAGCAGTTTGATTTGCATATGTTTGATGAAACAAAGCATGTTCTGGAAATGATAGTCATCGATAAGAGGACCAACATCCCCATCGGCAAGTACGTTTTGAATCAAGCTTACAAAAAATTTTGAGTTTATCTTTTGTAGAAAAAAAGAAATCCTTTTATGGAGCAAAACAGCGAAGTGTTTTAAATTTTGGGAGCAAAATTTGAGTGAGGTTTCCAGCTGTCAAGGTAACCCATGATGCATTTTCAGATGCACCTTGGATTTAGATAAACTGGAGAAGGAGACACCGAATCAGCTGCTCTGTGAGCTCGATCGAGGCAACGGTACGGAGTCAATTTTTTTGAGTAAGATGAAGTAATGATTTGAAAAAGAGGACTGGAAGGACTTTTAACAGTTTTGCAAGCGAGTTAGTACCATTGGAGTCTTAAGAACCGTGGTTTTTTCTAGACAAAAGATTATCTTTGTATTTTTCTGCTATTTAGGTCCACAATTTTGCTTTTTTGCTTAGCATAAACCCAAAAAATTGCCCACCGCGAGATATTCAGTAGAATGAAAGGACGGACACGTGTAGAAACGGAGAGAAGGAGCAGAAATGAGCTAAATACTAGATGCAACGAGTTAGAATTTAACCATGCCAATCGAAATTTTATTGTACTCCAACAAATTTGGTGTCACCTTGTCTTTCAGTTCCCAATCCCAGAACCAGAACGCGACATCTGACAACGAGGGAGAGTTTACTGTAAGGTGAGGGAAAGATCGCAGAAGGCTTGGCTTTAAATGCAAAAATGGAGAAGTATTTCAGGGTCGATACTTTTACTGATATCGGTAACGGGTACGACATCTACGGATGCAGTTGTTGACTTGTCCGACTTCTCCAACGACGACATCCGGAATGTTCTTCTCGAAAAATATGTTGGTGTTTTGTGAATCTTTTTTGTTTCATATTTGGACGAAAAAAAAATGCAATCTGTTTAACTTTTCGTTCGAGTGTGGCAAAATTATGAAGATGAGAGAAATCTTGCCCGGAAAATTAGCTAAATATTTAAAACCCAAAATAATTCCCAAGAACAGTGTTTTTTATTTTTTGATTAGAAATGTATAAGTCTACTTGTGACTGCTGAAGCAAAAGGCATCCCCTAACGTTTTGTTGCATATATCGGTAATTTTGAATTAGATTCTAGCGCTATAATGCACGCTTGCAGAGTATACGACGAACGTATCAAAATTATCGTGACGTC